AGATCGTGAAGGTCTCGGGGGACATTGTATTTTGTTCAGAAATGTTTGTTTCTATCAGATGAACTTGTGTGCAAAATACTTTTAATAGGATCTAGAAAGCTAGTTTTGGGGGGTCTGGATTTTTTAGATATATTTCATCTCAACTTGTTAATGGGATTTTGATGGTGAGTTCTCCTGATAGGAAATTGTTTCAACTGATCAAATCTTCTGTCTGATTTGTTCTAGATATTACCGTTAAGGAAAAAGTCAAAAGGACTTCGTTTCTAAACTTTTTATCTTCACGTTAGCTTTTAGTATAGTAAAGAAAATATTCATACAGGTGTAACAAACCATTTTGATGACGTTCTTAATTCTAATGAAACTAGTTGTAGTCAACACAAAAAAAAACTGGAGTCAAACGATGCCTTCTCATTCTTTACTGCATACATGCTTGAATAATATCAATTCAAAATAGATAGCATGATTTTAATTTTTGTTTTAGCTTTTTTTTACTTTCGTAATATTCTTTTATTTAATAATCTCTTTTCTTCATTAAATATATCTCAATAAATCTTAATATTTTGTCTACAGGATGTTGGTATGCCAGCTGAGTTTATTATAAAATTACAACAAATGTTTAAAGATCTTAAATTAAATCGTGATATGAATGAAGAATTTCGAACTGTATGTCCATCATCACGTAATAATAATACAATGATGGGTAAATATACATAATACTTTTTTTTTGTTGTTGTTTTGAAATCTATAGAGCAAATGTCCCTAATATCGACAGCAAAAAATTCACTTATCTTGTTTCAGTCTGTGCACCACTATTTTATATATGAGGTAAAATATTTTTATATATGCATAATCCTTGGATTCTGCTCTTTCAAATGATATATAAATTAACTTTTTTCTTCAACGTTTTCACCGAGAAATCAGCGGTCTACGATGATGGACTGCATCTGTCGATATTAGGAGCACTTTCCCTAATATCGACAGCAAGCCATTTTTTGTCCCTAATATCGACACTTACGCAAAATACAAGCGAAATCGAATCTTTTGAGAACAAACAAGTTTTTAACGACTTTTGGTCGGAAAACGATCAAAGATCGCCTTGGCAATCTTGTAGAGCATCTCAAGATCTATCATAATCCAAAGGTTCACGCAAAGCCGATTTGCTGCTGATGAATACAATAACTCGAGAGGAAGACGACTAAAATCGATAAAAAAAAAATGTCCCTAATATCGACACCAAGCCATTTTTTGTCCCTAATATCGACACCAAGCAATATTTTGCCCCTAATATCGACAGCAAGCCATTTTTGCCCCTAATATCGACAGCAAGCCATTTTTTGTCCCTAATATCGACACCAAGCAATATTTTGCCCCTTATATCGACATCAAGCAATATTTTGTCCCTAATATCGACACCAAGCCATTTTTTGTCCCTAATATCGACACCAAGCAATTTTTTGTCCCTAATATCGACACCAAGCCATTTTTGTCCCTTATATCGACACCAAGCAATATTTGGTCCCTAATATCGACAGCAAGCCATTTTTTGCCCCTAATATCGACACCAAGCAAT